CTCAGACCTCTCAGGTGCCTCGATATTACAATTCTCATCACTTCATGGTTCTTGTTGTTAGTTGTCACAGAGTCAATTCCAGCTCATGGTGACCCAAAGTGTGTCAGGGAAGAACTGTGCTCCATAGGGTTTTCAAGGCTGTAACCTTTTGGAAGTAGATCTCTAGGTCTTTCTTTCCAGGCGCCTGTGGGTGTGTTCAAACTGCCAAGCTTTCAGCTGGTAGTCAAGCACTTAACCATTTGCAGCATCCCGGGACTCCTTTACACTTCACTAGAGTATTTCAGTTATGTTCAGAAAGTTTTTAATTTTGATGAAGTTTAATTGATCTGTTTTTACTTTTGTTTTGTCTTTGCCATCATAGCTGAGAAATTATTGCCTAACCCAAGTCACAAAGATTTACCCTTATGTTTTCTTATAAGTGTTTTATAGTTTTAGCTCTTACATTTAGGAGCTGGATCTATTTTGAGTTAATTTTTGTATGAGGTGAGATAAGGAAACAACTTCATTCTTTGCATGTGGCCATCCAGTTGTCTCAGAATCATTTGTTGAAAAAACGCTTCTTTCTACATTGAATTGTCTTGGCACCCTTGTTGAAAGTCAATTGAACATAAATATCAGGGTTTATTTCTGGACTCTTAATTATGTTCCATCAATCAATATGTCTAGCTTCATACCAGTACCACAATGTCTTGACTACTGTAGCTTTGTAAACAGTTTTGAAATTGCAAAGCAGGAGTCCTTCAACTTTGTATTTTTCAACATTGTTTTGACTATTCTGAGTCCCTTGCATTTCTATGCGAATTTTTGGATCAGCTTGTCAATTTCTGCAAAGAAGCCAGCTATGATTTTAATAAGAATTGAACCTGTAGATCAATATGCGGAGTATTGCCATTTTGTATTGATTTTCAATTCATGAACATGGGATATTGTTCCATTTACTTAGGTCTTCTTTAATTTCTTTCAACAATGTTCTGTAATTTTTAGAGTATAGATTTTGCATTTCTTTTGTTAAATGCAAAAATAATTCTTGCAAAACAGCACTTTTGAAAAGAGAATGTTTAAAGTCAACAGCCAACCAACATCATTCTAAATTGAGAGACTTTGAAATCATTCCCCTTGAGAACAAGAACCAGACAAGGATGCCCTTTATCACCACTCCTATTCAACATTGTGCTGGAGGTCCTAGCCAGAGCAATTAGGCTAGAAAAAGAAATAAAGGGCTTCCAAATTGGTAGGGAAGAAGTCAAAGTGTCTCTATTTGCAGATGATGTGATCTTATACACAGAAAATCCAAAAAAATCCACAAAAACTACTGGAACTAATAGATTTCAGCAAAGTTTCAGGATACAAGATAAACATACAAAAATCAGTTGGATTCCTTTACACCAACAAAGAGAACCTCAAAGAGGAAGTCACCAAATCAATACCATTTACAATAGCCCCCAAGAAGATAAAATACTTAGGAATAAATCTAACCAGAGACGTATAAGACCTATACAATGAAAACTACAAGACACTACTGCAAGAAACCAAAAGAGACCTGCATAGGTGGAAAAACACACCTTGTTCATGGATAGGAAGACTCAACATTGTGAAAATGTCAATTCTACCCAAAGCAATCTACAGATACAATGCAATCCGGATCCAAATTCCAACAGCATTTTTTAATGAGATGCACAAACAAATCACCAACTTCATAAGGAAAGGGAAGAGACCCTGGATAAGTAAAGCATTACTCAAGAAGAAGAACAAAGTGTGAGGCCTCACACTACTTGATTTTAGAACTTATTATACCACCACAGTAGTCAAAACAGCCTGGCACTGATACAACAACAGATACATAGACCAATGGAATAGAATTGAGAATCCAGACATAAATTCATCCACCTATGAGCAGCTGATATTTGACAAAGGCCCAAAGCCCATTAAATGGGGAAAAGACAGTCTCTTTAACAAATGGTTCTGGCATAACTGGATATCCATCTGCAAAAAACTGAAACAAGGCCCATACCTCACACCATGCACAAAAACTAACTCAAAATAGATCAAGGATTTAAATATAAAATTGAAAATTATGAAGATCATGGAAGAAAAAATAGGGACAATGCTAGGAGCCCTAATACATGGCATAAACACAATATGAAGCATAAGTTACAATGCACAACCACCAGAAGAGAGACCAGATAAATGGGAGCTCCTAAAAATCAAACACTTATGCTCATCAAAAGAATTCACCAAGAGTAAAAAAGACAACCTACAGACTGGGAAAAAATTTTTGTCTATGACAAATCTGATCAGAGTCTAATCTCCAAAATCTACAAGATATTGCAAAACCTCAACAACAAAAAGACAAATAACCCAATTAAAAAATGGGCAAAGGATATGAACAGGCACTTTGCCAAAGAAGATATTCAGGCAGCTAACAGACACATGAAGAAATGCTCACGATCATTAGCCATCAGAGAAATGCAGATCAAAACTTCAGTGAGATATCATTTTGCCCCAATAAGGCTAGCCTTAATCCAAAAAACACAAATAATAAATGCGGAGAGCTTGTGGAGAGACTGGAACACTTATACACTGTTGGTGGGAATGTAAAATGGTACAACCACTTTGGAAATCGATTTGGCCCTTCCTTAAAAAGCTAGAAATAGAAGTACCATGCGATCCAGCTATCCCACTCCTTGGAATATATCCTAGAGAAATAAGAGCCATCACACGAATAGATATATGCACACCCATGTTCATTGCAGCACTGTTCACA